TGGTCGCTGGACGTGATCTGCTCGGATAGGCCAGGTCTCGCAGCCGTAGAGCAACACGGTGCATACCGTTGCGCAATACGCACGCCCTTTCAGTGAAAGGAATATGTCGCGCCGGCGCCAAAGATGCCACAGATTAGTAAACGCTAATCTAGTTTTGATCACGCGTTGAGAGATCTCCTCACCCACACTTCCCCCAGCCGTTATGCAACTCCCAAGGTTCCCAAAATTACTTCCGGAGTGCCATTACCCAACGAAAGTGCAGGAATGGGTTCCTGCCAATCTTGCAACAACACCGTGCACTTTGAAGGTGCAATTTGGCGGTATTATAGGCGTGTGTTTCTGAGATATTATTTTGACACAAAGTGTTCTTTGAAGTTGTGAGATGCCTATCCACCGCATTTGATAATCCACTCGTTGCCTTCTCGTCGAAAACTTGGCTTAGTTTTTTTTAAATTTTGCAACTTATTCCAATCCATTTCACATTTCAATTCACAATTGTTTAGGATTAGTGCTGTCATTATTGATTTATATTCGTGCTCGCTCACAGTCCTCAGTTAATGTAACCTTTCCCACACTAGGGAAGCGGTATAGTTAGATTNATTCCGGTGGATTCAAATATATATGTTTTGCATCACTTTCAGAACATTCTCCTCAAAGCTTCAAAGTCTCAGTAGACCCGAGTGATGTTCGCTCTTGTAGGAGGAGCGCTTTAGTTATTGAAATCTCAAAACTTGCTTCAATGACTAGGCATCTGACCATCCACGTTGACCCCCAAAGAAGTCACCACAGCAAGTGGTCGCGGAACAGGGCAGTTCGTCATTTAAACAAACCCGTAAATAGGTTTTTCGGTTTATTGAACATTCTGTTTAGCATTACTTACGTACACAAGTCGATTTTGATTGATCGAAGCGTCATGCCGGTAAGTTTAATTGTGCATTTATTTAATCAACTGAAATCGTGAGTAACTGTGAACAATGTATTGGTATTTCAAAAACCTGTGCTACGACGTCTTGTGTGTTAGCACCGACAAAATCGGTGAATCAAGGTGGAATTGCGTAAAACTACCGTTTGTCTGTAGACAGTCTGATCGTTATTTGAGCTGAAATCGTTAAATAGTCATACGAATTTTCCCGAAAATTATGCTCTGCAGTTGTGGTGCTAAAATAACCTGTTGCCTTACCAAAGCCAATAATGAACATATATCGTAAAATGCCACATAATTTGATCATTAGTGGACAACATTGCTCAGATTTTTGAAGCATTCACATCCACAGTGCATAGCCTAGTGCCCATATGCGATGGCCTCCGAAAGCCTAAGTATGGCCAGGGTGGGTTTCTCGGGTTATGACTGGTCACGAAGAGGAGGGGTACGAATCACACACACAACTTCCTGATTGTGGCAGTGGTCATCGGCTCGATTGGGCATTGAGGTGAATTGGGCACCTTGGACGTTTGACCCTGTCCAAAAGGAGTATAATCCAATGAACTGGACACCGGCCCCAAATGGACTGTAGACTCTGAGCTCCGTCCTGTTGTCTTGCTGGTTTGGCCTTCTAGCCAAAGACCTCGGGTAGGGACTCTCAGGTTATTCCTCTGCTCGTTCAGGGCAACCGGGAAGAAACATGCCCACAACCGAGGAACACATTCTACAGATGTGTTTTTGCTCATATGTTTGGCACATTTGCCAGTTCTCTGTTATTAGTTGCGTGTTGAAATAAATAAACATAATATGCGATGAGTGTCTGGTGTGTGATAAATTTCGGCGGGCTATCAAAAAAGTGATTCGTGGGAAGAAATTTCTAGTAAGTGTATACCCCTGATAACGAATTTACAATATCTATGTCGCAAGATATTTTGAACGGTATTTACTTACGGACAGTCGGGTTGACGTGCTTCTATTAAAGGCACACCAAAAGTACCTAATTGATGAACACGATGAACCAGGAGCTTGCCGACAATCTCTCAAGAGGTTTTCACGAAAAGGAGTTATTATGCCGTATAACGCTTTATGTCATGTATGGCATGAGGTTTATCAACTTTTGGCTGATGAACTGCCTTCCAGTTGTTTATTGCTAATTAGACCTCCGTTACCCTGCCGAATTTGAGGGTGCAGTTCGGTCCGGTCCAAGCTAACAACCCGGTTACAAACGCGATTCGACACTTATTCATGGTACTTGAAATAGAGAAGTAAACAAACTCATTTGCAATCTGTCTTCGAAAACCAATGTCAAATATATAGTAGACGAATCAAACTGCTCAAACACGCATCTCACGTCTGGTGCGCTCCGTGCGAACATGTCTGAAAGAAGTAATCGATAAGGACGCAGAACGCACTGATTATTGATGGACGTTGTGTGTAGTTTGCGTAACTGCTGCAACTCTTTCCCCGTTTATCTTTCCGTTATGTCTGTGAACTTCCTATAACTTCTATAGATATTGGATGCAAATATGCCGGTGATGTAGCACTTACCCCAAAGAATCCTCTAAAGTTCTAAGGGAATTTGTTGCAGCCGTTAGGTGGTCCACACCTCTTATCGTGAACACCCCGAAATGTTAGGATGTGATTTTTTCATTAGAATTCGGTGAACTGCACCGGACTCTAAGAACCGGGTTTCCCCCTATCGTTGTTAACGATCACAGTACCAATTTCCTCCACTGTAAAATATCTGGGAGGGTTTTTAACTTATAATCTGTCATGATCCGCGAACGTTCACGAGACGTTTTGTAAAGTTATGTCATTATCATTTTCCTCTCTGAGACTAAAGCTGCTGTCTGTACCATATAAGCTAAGCCTTAAATTTATGAAAGCTTGAATTATTCCCCACTGGTTCGTTTGTTCACTAGCCATTTTCATGGCCTCTTTGCGAAGGATTTTATTCAAAGTCATGGTTTTATTATGGTTGCTTTTCTTAACGGTGCACCTCAGCTCTTCGTCTTGCCTCTCTCAGTGACAGTGGTGTGGGTTCGGAAACTTTTGTACAAATCATGACTTTCTTTTTTGCAGGCATAAGTGTTGCGACATAGTGTGCGCAGTAGCTCCTAAAGAGCAGGTGTGTCCGCTTTCATTTTTGTCATTCAGTGTGCGTTCGCTGCGATGAGGTGACAATGTGCGCTGAGAATTTCGCTCGTTTACCAGGTTCTCGGATGAGCCTTACTAATGCGACCTGTGAACTGAAGTTCGTTATTTTTCACTGAGAGCATGGGTTACGTTGGTAATAAAAACCTGGCTTCGTCGCAGGAACTTGATGTAGGTTTTGGGAAATTGATCGATCCCACGAAACATGGTGAGATCCGAATCAACCCCAATAGAAGAAATGATCAACATTCCAGTTTCATGAGAGGATCCTATTTTTCCTTCAAGTGTAGCAATTTTTAAGTTCGCTTTTTCTTCGGCGGCTGACAATAGCTCCACGTACTTATGTGTGATACATCTGATGCACTTTGCAATCGGGGTTTCCACCCGTTCTATACAGAACCACATACATTCTGGCAGAGTGGGTAACAGATCTTCAAAGTACCTATCGAAATGAGCTAAACTTCCTGATGTGATCGTTGTGGGTAACATTGGTACTGGACACATTGAAGCATCTAACGAATTCACCTCCTCTGTACTTAAAGACATTCCACATACGCCACACGGACGAGTTTTAAATTCCCGTGCTTCTAGCTACCGCAGTCCCATACTCCCATACGCATCGCTTTTCCTTGTCGACCCACAAAACGAAACCAACGAACTTCACGTGCGTTCACTTGCTTAGCTAGTTTTATGTTCCAGGACTTCTATCAATAAACTTCAAATTTATGCCAAATATACGTCACTCTGGTGGCTACATTTTATCCTCTCCGTGCTGAATTCAACAGTAACACCCTGTCCATTCAATCAGTACATCTATGCGCCGACTAAAAGGCTCTCGACAGGGCATGAGCAACATTCGCATCACATGATCAGACAGGCCATTTCTTTGGGCAATCTGCAGCTGTCTATCATGTGCGTGTACTTTTGCTTGTGGTTGTTAGGCGCCAAATCCGATCATCACTGGAACTGCTATAGTTTCAGTACTTTACCTCAGGGGGGCGGATGTGTCGGTCTGCAACGTTCCAGTATTGGTTAACTGTGTAAACTGCGCTCGCTCGGCTCTCCCCAGAGCATCTCTCCGCTCTCTGTGTCACATAGTCAGTTGACAGATGCATAACGATATTCACAGATCACAGGGCGGCTGTATGGGTGTGCACATGTGCGCCAGAGCTGGATTCAAGTTTCATATCAATTTATGGTGCTGATGTGTCAATTTCACCTTGTGACTATCTGCAGTAGTGAAACTGATATTTCTACTCGTGCCCGTGGAGACTAAGACTATCCTGGAATTTGAGAGATCCTGATGCACTAGTATGTGATCGGAAATCCAGACCGCCCAGAATCAATAACTCCTTCCTTGTATTGGGAACTTTTTAGTGTCTGAAGGGGAACAACACATGTTGGGCGTTGAGATGACTGGATTCCAGAAAGCGGAGGTGGTAAAAAAAGTTATAATAAAGCTGTTCTGAGGGAGTCGCGGGTATGTGATAGTCCAGTCCTACCTGGCAAACAGAATTCTGCAAGTAATTCCAGTGAATACAGATGTGATAGAAGTGACAAAAGGAATAAGCGAATAACCACATTCGGTGATTCGCGAGGGAGAATGTTTTTACCTTGCAAATGCTAGTCGTTCTGTTTCATTTAGGTTTCAGTTACAGGCATTTAATAACTGATAACTTTTGAACTTGCTGTCCCATTTAGCCATGATAGCTCACGTCCATGTACGTTCGTTTGCTTTCAGGTTTATAAAGAGTACACAGTGAGCATCGCCTATGATCTGCTTCTTTGTCGGCAAGGCAGAGTAAGTCAGTGTTCACTGTTTTATCACTGTCTTTCGTTCACTTATCTGTAATGCAATACTAGTTTTCCCCCGTGTTTAAGTCACCATTATCAAGTATGGAATCAACAATCTGTGTTTCAGATGTTTCTTCCTTTATGTTCATCATGCGCTAGTCTGTATCATTGGGGATTCGCCGTTCTGGTTACGGAAGTTCCCTTATTAAGAGTTGGCCGCCAGTTCGGCGATTCAGTGCGAACAGAGTGAGTCCAGGTTCACTAAGTGAGCGTTTGAAGGTGATCAGCAGCAGTGCTGGAACATGCAATAGGTTTTGGTCTCCCTATAAAACATTATTAGTGTGCTTAAAACTGTAATTGGTACTCGCCACTAAATCAAACCACGGTTATGGTCGTGTTACACATGTAGCTATAGGTATATTACACTGCATTACGCCAAAGGTGAATGGACCACACAGACCCTCGGCCCCTCTGAAGTTACTCTGTTGTCCTAGGTGTTGCGCTTGGTTGTGTAACGAATTTAGCTGAACTCTCGTGCAAAAAGACCGGACTTGTTACCGTTAGTTTTTTCTTACACACTTTCGTGTGATGAACAGCAGACAGGATAAACCTCATAGTCACGAGGATCTGCTGTTCAGAGATGGAAACCGGTAACCTAAGCCCCGGGACATGGTGTGGTGAATCACTTAAGGCCCGTTGGGTTAGGCGTTGTATTGAACCAATACTCCGGACCGAATAGTAAAACAGTCCCGAACGATACTGGGGAGAGATTCGTATCCTATGCGGGAGATTGTCTATGGTTAATATCCACGAGACTGAAACCACCCGATTCGCGTGGCAGTTCCTGTGGCTAGCTTGTCGAAGCGCACTGTGCTAGCTAGGATCCACACCATGTGCGCATCAAAATCACTCCAACCCGTTGAAGTTCTGAGTGCCGCTCCTTTCACTGGTCCACTTTTCAATTATTCAGAGCTGATAGCCAATCGGTTTCTTTTTACTCACAAGAAACTGTGGGTTTTATGCGAATTATTACTTCAGCTTAGTAGGTTTGTGGCAAGTCAGCCCGTAACCTGCACGGAAGACTTGATTTGGTAGGAGGCTTTCGATCGGAGTTAACAAGCAGTCAGCTGTCTTCTTTCGTTGCTGTCGAGCCAAAATTAACTGACTGACTATCACTGAAGACGACACCTGAACAAACATGAAATGTCAATTCGGTTCAACCTTGGTAAGACGTAGTTGGCAGTGGTAACGCACACGCCTTCCACGTCATGAGCCCGTAGTTCAAAGTTCGGACGGGACTGTGGATATGCACTACTGATGAGCTCTCGTAGGACAGGAGCTCGATTCTAGTGCTTTCGAGTGTATTTTTGACTGTAAGAACAGGATTGTGCGTGAAGGATGATCAGTTCAAATCAGTATCATTTACTCCACATCACTACTCACAAGTAGCTATCAGTTGAATGCGAATAATTTAGAATTATTTGATAATCAACCATAGTTCCTCTGTGATGACACATTCTTGTCATTCCTTGACAATACATCATTCTAGAACAAGGCAGACTACTTTGATCTATTGTCCCGTCGAATGGGTCTCACTCCGATTCCCCTGAGCTGTCTAATCAACGTCATGCTACTTCAGACGGTTCGCAATCCGAGTTACCTTCTCTTTACGCTTCCGTTCGCCTTGCTTATGTGAGTCTATTGGTTTTATTTGGCTTACGACTGATAAAATATGCTTTTTATATTTACTTAATTATACTCCTATTCGGAATGGTAGCTTGATTATCAATCGGTGAAGACATTTTGATTTTTCTACGAGCGAGCCATGTCAACTGAGTCACACAAAAACAAATAAATGTGCGACCCATGCTTCTAATCTTTCCTTACTATATGTATTGCTGGAAGAGTGATCCAATTCACTGTCACTGGCGTGCTCCGCGTCCTGAGGTTAATACCATTCTGCCGTCAACCAATATTGTTGTTAGGTGAATTCTGTGTCGCCCATCTTACTGGGTCTTCACGTAGTTCGCCACCTCAAGTCGCAATGCTCAGGTACCGGATTATATAACTGATTGAAAGATCATGGTGACTGTTGTGCTCGCCTATTTTGCGTTTCATTATCTGATGATGTACGATAAAAATAGCTCACTTTTAATACATCGAAACAGGATCTTGCCTCTGTTTGGAAAACGACACCTGTGTAAAGAACACCAACTAACTGCAGAGGAATTAAACGGTAAATTAGGTAGTGGAAAGCGCCGGAGACTAATTACTGAAGTCATTTATCGACTTAACTTTCCCGTGCCAGACTAAGCGTCTCAAACAGCTACTGATGGTCTTTTCCCACCTAATTGGGAGGACAAAAAGCCAATATCCTGAGCTAAATTCGGGTCGGTGAACCACTGACAGTTCATCTAGGGGAGTTGTCTAAATACCTTGATTCCAAACCAAACAAAGGGAGGCGTAAGAACCACACATACACCTTCCTGATTGTAGCAGTAAACACTGGCCCAGTTGGCCATTGAGATGAAGTGAGCATCTTGAACGTTTGACCCCGTTCAAAGGGTGTATGATCCGATGAACTGGGCATCGGCTCCTAATGGATTGCGGTTCTCACCCATCACCAACCTGCCCTGGGTTTCAGACTTTGGTTTGCCGAATGCTAAGGTTGTGGATTCTTTGAGAAAATTCATTACCTTGGTCTGGCCAACCTAGCAGTATCGCGTCCTTGAGCAAATCATGGGTCTTTTTATTTTAATGAGGATTATTGTACCGTGTTTTGTTTGGCACGCAGTCTGAACTCGGACTTTTACCAAGATATATTGTATAACAAAAGTTGTTTACCAGTGGTTAATAATAGAGAACAGAATGGACAACGTCTTACACTTCTAGCTTAAGCCGAAACGCCACGGACCCTGTATCTGGCATGGATCAGGGTAGCCGGTCTTGAAAAACTGGTTTTTGCAATAACAATAAGATGGGACACTGATTGGATCAAAATGCGTTCCAAATAGTCTAAAAGGTGCCCTTCAATCTACCCTGGTCCAAGCCTGACGCAGGACCCTAAATCAACCCCTGATGATTGGCTTCAACAGGAAGTTCATTTTGTTTCCCGGCTCTGTGTTCTCTATTGTAAATCAATGACAAGTCTTATTTTACCACCTCCCCAACCATTATCCACAATATCTATATCATCTAATTAACGCACGACTAATCAGACATTATTTGGTGCACACATGTTTACTCCATACAACTATACTTGTATTAGCCGCAGGAAGAACTTATCGGAAATTCGGCTTTCTGCGATGGACTATCACCACTCCCGGAGGGTCAAGACTCAAGGCTCAGAGGTCTGCACCCAATCATGGGCTCACCGTGGTAACTGCACTACCACTACTGCTGCTCTGGAGAATATAAGATGCGATTAATTAATCAAAACAAATATTTTGCAAACCATTCTGGTCTATCGAAAATGTCACTTCGACTTTTAATGAAACAGTTACAGCTTGATGACCAACTGGGCACTCGGTTTCATGTTGACTTCAGAGGTCACAGCAGTTCCACAAGTTATTCTCAACGCCTTATTTGTTCATCCCTACTGTATGCGGGTTTTCAGTCTGCTCCGTCCGCTTCACCCTATTTCGGAATTTTTAAAACACAGTATTGGTTGAGCCGTTCAATTTCGTCTCCGTTTTGTCACTTGGCCCTGTTGTTTATCATCATTTTTTACTTTTCAGACTGTTCCCGATTAAAATCCTGGCCAACATGACTTTATTATCGTTAGCTTATTCCCGAGTCAAAGCCTACATCAAAGCAGAGAGTGCAGCCCAAGTGAACGAATTAATTAGTAAATCGGAAGAGCCCAAAGAACCTACTGGAGCCATGCCGGATACTGAAGTTGGCAGAACAAAACAAGATGTGGCCACAGAGGAGATCTATTCGGACCAGCCAATACAATCCAAACCGGCAATGGAATCGGTGATACACTCGACACCGATGCGTATGCTCGGTTTCGATCAACCTACTCGTGATGACGAACAATTCGTACCAATGGTTCTTAGACATCGTCGTGTTCGTAGCGATTCCGAGTTCGTGAGCTCTCCGACTCCTGTACCGCCCGTGGACGACACATCTGGCACTGTCCAAAGCAGTGCGAAGCAGCCTGCTGAACGTCCAACTTCACCGATTCCCCTTTCTGTCTTCGAGTTTTCTTCATTGAAATCTTCCGGTGATTTTCAGAGCCCTCCATCTACGTTAGATCCCCGGGATGAAGTAAATCAAAATACCGTGGAACACGCCCAGTTGGATGACGTAGGCACAAGTTCAATACACTCGGGCTTAAACGAATCGGAAGTCTCATTGTCCGAATTCCTTCAGTTGTCTGACCTGAGCAAGGGTAAGTTAGAGCTTCGTGAATATGCACATCTTTTTTCTCTGCAAGCGGTAATCCTTGGAACCTGGAATGAGCCAGTACATTTGTTATGCCACGGTCGCTAAACATATTACACTGATCTTCAGTTTAGGTGAGGCAAGTGTCTCTCCGACTGGTCGTCATATTTGACTTATTCGAATCATTGTGATTCAGCAGTAACCTTAGTAACACGGTACTTAAATTAAATTATTCCTATCGAACTATGCGAGGTCGAATATTTCTGACTAAGTGATTATCACCGCTGTATTGGATGGCTATGGGGTCGTGTTTAATTCACCGCTCACGGACATCATTGGGCCATTAGGTCCGGAGTTTGGAACCTGCCACCGCCACCCAATTTTAATGGTGGGTAGCTTCGTTCTTGTCCGGTTCAATACCACACATATCCTGAGGAGGCCTTCCCAATATCCGGGGGTTTAGGACCGATTAACATGTGTGACTGTAGAATCCACTCCTCTTCTCATCACCATCATTTCTTGTTAGCAGAAAAAATAAGCTCGGATTGTTTTCTTGCTGCATTTGCATTCACCCGTCCAAACGGTTTTTTTCTGGCACTTCCAATTGCATAGTGTAATGCACATTGTATTCATAGTGCCTAACAAAGTATACTGCCTAACGGTAATTGTGCGGCCACAATGGATCGCACCGTGATATCACTTCCAGACTGCTAACCAGAGTGGTATACTTCCAACCAGTGTGGTAAGTCCTTGCATCTGCAGGGGCTGTTTAAGGAGTACCCGACGAATATGGGGGCCATAACGGCAACGATGCAACAAGCAAGCACCAATTGATGCTTGTGATACTTCCGTGTATCTCCTAAGTTATATGGCTGTATCCACAATTTATCTCGGTTTTATTTGCTTTCGTGTTATTTGGTTGTTCAATAGTTCGAATTATATATATATATATATCTTAGATGGGCATTGCTATTTTGTGAATAAATTGATTATTACACATCATACCGCCGAAGCGAATCTAACAGCATTGAAAATGCTTCCAATTCTCCCCCTCTCGCAAATTTTGTATTTTAGGTAATTCAACAATAGAAGACTGGCCAAATGAAAGTCCCGCATCGGACCGGATGCGTCTGGTCAGCCTGAGCACGGACAGCAAACTCGGTTCGGACAATGAGGAAACCCATCTGCCCAGTGCGCCAAGTTCCATAGCATTCCGCTCCTCACAACCTATAGCGCTTTCTTCTCCCGGACCCAAGGGACCTGCGAAACATGTCTCACGCGAAGGTTTCCCTGTCGTAAATACCGAAACGACTGTGGAAAATCGAACAAAGATAATCGCTGCAAGTCAGACACAACTACTGACTCGATGCTATAGTATTGACTTGGGTGTACTCAGTGGATTCAGTCGAAGATTCTCACCATCTGAACACGATCTCTGTTTACCAAAGAGTCGAGCCCTCGATGCACCCTCGGACACAACACCTGCCGTCAATGTCAACGAAAGTTCACAAACAGAGTCGTTCGTGCGTCGACGTCGATATCGCACACGGACAGAGAGTTCTGACCAGCAACACCCGCCACGAGCATCTCAGATGGACNCGATTTGCCAGCTTTGTGGGAACGAAGTAGTCGAAACAGTGTGGCTCAGCCGTTTAATATGGGTCGGTTGATGATCAAGCAACCTTTGTCTGACATCGATCGGTACTCGATGGTCGAGGGACAGATCAGTTGACCCCACATAATCAGCTGAACGTACCGTTCCACTCACTCATCCCTGCTCCTGCACTCTTTTCAAGAAAGGTTTTTCAACGAATGGTTTTTTGGTTATGTTGTACAACAGTTTTCAAAAATAAATGCCGAATGGGGCAGTTTCACTTGGTATTCTATGCTGACCATTAGAACTGTCAAATAATGCTCGGTTTTCGTGTTGATTGCGTCTAGCGTCGGACCGCATACGGAGAACGATTTTGTCGGTGTGTTCAGGGTAACGTAGCCCGTAGGCAAAATCGGTAGTCACGAAAAGAAACACGTGACATACAGGTCTGCCCATTTCGTTTTTCGACGGTCAGTTTAGTTCGTGAATGCGTGACTCTATTTTGATGATGCAGGAACCCATCGTACTAGTATCATTGCTGGAGGATATTTTTCATACGGATTTTCGCAATTGTTTGCGAATAAAACATCCTTCTAGTTTTCGGCTGAAAACGACTCGTGAGTAGTATTGCGGGATACGTGTTTTCTTTGCAAGTGACCAACATTCGGACCGTGTATTCAATCCTTAGTTCATTCAGTCAACCATAAACTATAGCCAGTATTAGACCCGGATTTCGCCCTCAGCGGCAATGCATTTCCACCGCCCAGTCGGGGATTTAAATCAAATCGCGTCACATGGAGGGTGTGTTCCATTGTGCCAACCGGCTTTGCCTGGATACCCTCAGGTTAAACAGAGCTGAATGCTACCAGGAGTATCTCCGGGTTGTGGATAGGGGCATAACTTCACCGAAGAGGGTTAGCTGTGAATAAGTTGTGAAATACCGCAAAAAGTAAGCAGTCGCGAACAAACAGCGACGGCACTACCAGGGTGTGTTGGGTTTCAGGCTGGTCACCTGTTTAAAAGCCGCATAAGCTTAATGACGGTGTCGTGACAAAGGTCGATGTGAATGGCCTTTAAAAACTAGTCCCTGACCCCTCAATTCCGAGACGTTGGATTACTTCCTGCTGCCTTGCAGTTCGTACTTAGTTATGTAAAGGCTAGAGGTGTACCCTCAAAATGAAAAACGCCGAGTGACGCTGGAGACGGCTATCGTACCAAACTCCCAAAGAACTACGTGATAATATCTGGAGCCGGTTTATCCTTTCCAAGGAGCCAGCCGCAGTAAAGTGAAGTAAGTCAACACACAGGTTGATCACAGTTATCTGTTCAGGTTTGACTACACATTTGGACCTCAGACGATGTCAGTCAGGCATGGGTCCTGAAGCATGTTAATTCCGTTCGAAGCCAACTACCAGAACAGATGTCTTTATTTTATGCGATTATCGCCTGTGTGCAGATTATCCGGGTAGTCCGATGTCCGTGATAGTAGCTGTCTGCGTCAAGGTCGGCATACCGGGGAATACAGCTTGNTGTTGCACTAGTCCTGCACTCCGAAAGTTAACTGAAAACCTGTGATATCTACACCTAAGCTGATTGTCCTAACTCACTTCCTTAGATGGGCCCCGAGGTGGCCAGGGTCGACAGTAAAATTTTACATGTAAGTTTCAGTTTTTACAACCATTAATCATACACTTTCGTGCACCGGTTTTGGTTGCCCATTTGGATAAAAGAGCAAAGTGAAGGTTGGAATGTCGAAGCAAATTCAAGCGGAAGATGGGGAACAGATATAGAGTGGTGTCAGGAAAATAACGAGTGGATGCACGAGCGCCACTGTTTGCGACACCCAGCCATGTCACTCA